GCAAATGTACTAATGGCATTAAAATAAAAATTCAACTACCAGTCCTTCATTATCTTAAACGAAATAGGGGTAATACATCTCATATGTATAATATTCTTATAGTCTCGGAAACCTTAGAAAAGGAAAATTAACCCAAAGATATCTTTTCAGGCAGAATTTAAATCTGTTGCAAAGACTTTCATTTCGTATGGAAATACATGGTGAAGAGCTTCGAAGGTCAATCTCATTAAAAGACGCCGGTTGATTTACGTTGTATTGCAGCCATTTGGCCTTAATACGACGTTTAGGTTGATGCATTCCCCGAAACATCCCCAACGTTTTGGGAGAAGACGGACTAAGCTTTCGTTCCTCATATGAAGAAATCACAAAGACTGACCGGCTTTTTTCCATCTGATATACTAACTCATTGCGAAAAAAATTTAAAATATAAATGGATATAGAAAGGTTTGGTTAATTCACCTATACTCGAGTGTGTGTGTGTGTAAGTGTGTTAACGTCTGTGCGCTAAGCCGGCAATAACTCAGAGTAATTAGAAAAAAGCTTCAGATCAGCCCCTTGTCATCAAAACTTAATGGCACGGGAAAGAAAGTATGATCGAGAATGCGTTAGTCCGTAAGTGACCATGGCTGAGTTGATAAAATGTAAGCCTGTATGGATGAAATTCAGGTTATCAAGCCACCAGTTATAACCCGTTAATTTGCTTGACATAAATAAGCATAATATAAATAAAAATATATCGAAATGAGTCATACTTACTTCTCACTTCACATTGAACCTTCACTTTTTCACCGACTTGGCCTCTAAGGTTGCCATCATTGTCCAAAGGAACGACCTTGACCGAAATTCCATCTGGAATTTTAAAGAAAAATAACCCTGCGTTTCTAAATGATGATAACATATATAATAAAATCAGTAAAATCATTAGATCACGTTATTGTGCGTCCCCGTATAGTCGGTTCCCGCTGAGCAAATTTTACAGACTCCTACTCAAATCACGACCCTTTATCTAGTATACTTTTGCATATAATCATAAAAGAAATTTATCCATTATTGACTCTACAAACTAGTAAGGATGAATTAAAGATTAAGTTTTCCTGAACTTAAGCTTCGCAATGTCATTTGTTAAGTTAACAGGGCCGCATATATGAAAAAACGATGTTTCCTAACTTGATTAGACCTATCATTTCACATTTGGTCTCGTATGTAACAGTTGCTCGACACCATTGCCTACAAAACGACTTGACAAAAGTAGCATCTTGTGAAATTTGTTATTTCTAAAAATGTTTACTGATGTTGTCGCCTTTAAAATTTGTGAATATTCCAAAAAAATGTCGGTTTAGAGAAAATGTATTGGGACGATTGTCTGCGAGATCTGAATGCCTTCGATTCTGATGACTACACCTTAAATAGATAAATTCAATTTGTAATTGCATTTATTTAATAGAATAATTGTCATAGTATTTCCTATTTGGCCTGTACATGGACGTCGCATTGGCTTGCTATTCGGAAAAATGTGCCGGATTAATCCAATTCACCAGACTTACCTTGTTCAGTTCCTGGAATCGGATAGAGCAGGTCTTCTTCTCTAACCTCGGGCTTTCTGGTCACCTCTATCCTGAAATATTCCGAGGCAAATGCCATTTCCTCGTCCTCGTCGGCAGTGGGTTCGACCAACTTGGCCTTCACATGTACCACACAACGACCTTTGACCCCACGTCCACCCTGCCCCGGAGCCGCTTGTACTCCACGTAGGTTAAGGCTGTCCGCCTGCGTCTCGATCCCGACAGCAACAGAACTTCCTGCCGAGGAGTCGCCATCCAACCGACGCCAGTCCCAGCCATATCGGATGCCCGGAGTGTCAGCATGCAACGGTGTGCTGGTGGCCAATAGTACAGCCTGACAACGGAGGCTAGCGTCGTCACCTACCTGGCTGACGCTTATTTGTCCTGCCTGGTTAAGCCCAGCCACAGTAACACTGACGCGCCTTTGACCCAGCGGCTGAGGAGGAATCACACGATCTGTAGAAATATGGAATTGGAGACATTAAGAAAAGAGTATTAAATAAGAGCCTAGTCATCCCAGGTCGAAGACGCTACTCATATTCGATATAAGTAGTTTTCTTATCTATAAGTAGTTCTTGGATAAGGGCTTAGTCATCTCACGTCGTTTAATGGGATTTGGATACTGATAGTTGAGTTTTACCACAATGAGATCATGCAAAAGAGGAGAAGGAAAGGTGAATTTAATCGCACTGTGACAAAGCTTTTATATATGAATAATTGATAAGCTTGTAAACTACTTAAGTCGAAAAAGAGCGTCGATACACTTGCTTATTGATAACGATAAACTTGGCCAGATTGGTTATGGCCTGACTGATGTCGCTGAAGCTGGCAGTTAGAGTAATTAAGATACCGATGTTGATGCAGTTCTACAACAAGGACTAGCAAGATGGAGTAAAAACAGGACATAATCATTTAAAAAAACGTACCTGGGTCATCGTCCTTGATATCTTCGTCACCCTCTTTCTGAGTGATAGCGATGTGGAAGTAGGGTGAGGCTAGGCTGACTTTGTTCACCCAGGTTGCCAGGCAGCGGCCTCGGCCTCCTCGAAGGTAACGCAAGCCCTTCAATTCGAGCCGACTGCCCACAGCTTCGCTGGTATCAGCCAACATGCCTTCGTTAATCGGCTCGTCGGATCGGCCGACAATCTCCCAACCAATCTTGATTCCGGGTATCTTGTCGCCAGTGGTCACGTCTGGGGATTTTTGTGTGTGCAAGTTGGACAGATGTGTAAGTGTACCAAATTAGAAGGGAGCAGAAACATGTCTGATTAAATTGTTATAAAGGATACTATTTATTAATCACTGTATTGCAAAATAAGCCTTTATAAAAGTAAGCTTACGATCGCAGGGTCTTTGAACTAATATATGAGATATATTCACATTATTTCTTTTAAGGTGGTAAAGGGCTAGTAGATGAATCTTACAAAAATAGTTTAAGTAGATTTCACGTTTCCATTGAAGTTTGCAAAGCCCTGCTCTTACAAAAGCTATTTTCATTCCGGCTAGAGTGGAATGCAGTTTAGACCTCACATATGTCCCATCAGTACCACTAGCAGGACTCGAACCATGAGAGTGCAGCGACTAACCTTGACACGTTATCCATTACGCCACATTGAAACGAGTGTTGTGATGTGAAAAAATGCTTAGCCTTCCTTTAAATTCTCAACTTCCCTGTAACCTAAGGGCATTCATGGCCTTGTAAAGTAGTGATCTACATGCCGAGACACCAGATTGCACCATCATGGTTCGAGTCCCGCTTTGGGTGCTGATGAGATCTATACGAGGTCAAAACTGCAGTCTACCTTGAACGAAAATATCTTTTTAAGCCTGGCTATGCGAAATTCAATGGAAATGTAAGATATGCAAATGTAACTATTAGTCTTTCATCATCTAAAACATCTCATATATCTCATTTAATGATATTCTTAAAATATTTAATTTAATACCCAGAAGTTTGGTCTTTTTTAAACTTTTGTTATTGTAATGTCTCCTGTTTAATCAGAAATCCAAGAATAGAATATGATTTTGTGCTGCTTTTCCTAGAGCATTGTCCCCCAAGCATAAAGAAACTATAAAAACTCGAACTAGGAAGGTGACATACTCCGGTCATCGAGGCATTCAAAGTCAGCATTTGTTGTGTTAGAGTACCTTTAATTTCGCTTAAGGAGTCGAGTAGAAGAGATTCACAACTTGGTTTCACCGGAGGCTATAAGGGGTTTGCTTTAGAGCTGCGGTTGTAGATTTGTGCAGGAGGTATTCGCACAAATCTGCAACCACAGCTCCAAGGCAACCTCCACAGCCTCCGGTAGAACCAACTAACGAATCCCTTTCATTCGTCTATTTAAATTAAACTAAAGGTACTCTAACATTAATCTATTAATAGCTTCTTCAAAATCCAGTTTTTCTACATGACCATTATTTTATTTGTAAACTGATATACGACTTGATAATGCAAGCGCCTAATAGGCTCTAAGATCCTGAGATTTATGAAGCAAAGTTGACATTTTAAGAAATAACCCAATATTAGCTGGCACTATATTGTGTGTGCAACCCCGATGAAACTGTGCCAAGCTTTTGTCTGTACTAAGACAGACATCATCATACCAGTAATCCATACTTCACGAACTAGAGAAAAAATATGCTAAACCAACATATAAGTTGGCCGACTGCAATCTTAGTCACTTTTTTCTACACTTAACTTAGCGATCTTAATGAGGCATCCCATGGCTTGATTGGTGATTTCAAACTTAATCTACATACTTTCAAATGGGGGAAGTTAATTCCCCAACAGGAAGTGTGTTCGGTGGCAGCTGTTTCCTTACACAAATAAACTAGTGTACGATCCTCTAATTTTGAATCATGTTTTATGCTTGTGTATTTGTCTATTGTGTGTATATAATGTTAATGTAATGGGAAGTGGGATAATCCTGACTAACCAGGCTCCTTCTCTTGATAAGAAATTAAGAAATTTGGGTACTAAAGTTTTCTCAAGGAAACGACCGATATATAATTAATCGAATGGTAAGGATAGCCATTTCCAAAAGTGGTCAATCAGTCTTTAACTTCATTGGACATATCTACTGAGGAGGTCCTAGAAAAGGGCTTAAACCTTGCCTCTCCAAATGCTTAGAACTTCAAAGAGGACATTTTGGTAGAAATAATTAGTTTAATGGATAGATTCCCAGGGAGAATTCTAGGAATGACATTGATTTACAAGCTATCCATTTAATTAATGGTCAAGTAGAAACGCCACATAGAAATAGGACAATAAATAATATTATAATGTAGCTTATGGCGAACGACCAATTAGTAGTAAGGACAGATAGAGGAGGAGCAATAGTAGTTATAGGTAGGACTGGTTATATAGATTAAATGTTTGAGGCATTAGATGATGATATAACATAAGGAACTATAATTAGGGACCCGACAAAAGGCTAAAAATTCAGACTTAAGGGTCTCCTGTAACAATGTGTAAACAGCGGAGAAATGGAAAAGAAGAAAATGAACGCACTTCTCCAGCGAGATGCTAGAACCCCAAACGCATATGGACTGCCAAAAATTCATAAGCAATGTACTCCGCTTAGGATTTTTGCAAGTAATAGAGCTAGCATGATGCATTATTTTTACTCAGTACAAGCAAATCTCCGAAATTTGGAAGTTTTCGATAAGGAACTCTTACGACTTTAAAACTTTATTTGATCACGATGGAAAGAGGAGATTTGCAATAAAGGCATTGGAATTAACTCTAGATCAACACCATGAAATTATGACAGGTAAACTATTAGTCAAAGATTTGATCATTAGATTAGTCAATTTGGCAATGTGTGATACATATTTTACCTTTAATTGTAAGTCATATGAGTAAACAGGGGGCTTAGACATGGGATCTTGTTTATTCTCGATTCTAGCTGACAACTACATGGCTCAATTAGAAGTTCGTGAATGTGAGATAGTCTACTTATAAACGAGAATTTCGCGTGCTTCAAGAGGCACTCCTATTTCCCAACATATTAATTCGTCATATAAACGATTACTTTGCTGTTTGGAAGCACGATAAAGAGAGATTGGAAAAATTTCTTGAGCTAATAAGTATAATAGATGCAAATAATAATGAGTTAGAAAAGGAAATTAAATTTTATGTGATCTATTGACCCTATTTCGTTTAAGATTATGAAGGACTGTTAGTAGAATTTTCCCACAGTATTATGAGTAGAGCTTACGTTTCAAATGAATTTAACATGGCCTTGCTTTCCAAAAGGTTGTTTTCATCCAGAGTTGATGCAGTTTAGACCTCGCATTGGTCTCATCAACACCCCCAGAGGGAGTCGAACCGCGAAAGTGCATCACATGAGCCTAACACGCTAGCTATTCAGCCACATTGCCATGAGTCTCCTTGGGTCACAGGGCAGAAGTGAATTTCAAGGAAGGCAAGAACTTATCTCATATCGTATTATTTGGTGGGATTGTCGACAAAGCAACCGCATTTTTACTATAACGATCGACTACATTACTTTTTTTGTAAATGAATAGGTTTTAGAGACCTTGCTCATATACAAAAAATAGGAAAATAAATTACCTTTGTGGATGTATTTTTGAGCAAAGAAGGTAATAAGTTAGGTAAAGACGTATATAGAAAGCTAACACATGCGAATTCCATTATTAATTCAAAATATAAACTATGAAGTCTAGGATAGTAAAGAGTTTGCGTCTAGCAGATGTAAACAACAGGGACGAGGAGATCGGTAGATCTAGGCATACACTATTTCAAAACAATTATCCATTAAAATTAGTAGACAATTGCATATAATTAGCCAGTAACAAGATTATGAGAGTTTGCTATTCAGGGGGGTAGACAAATGAACCACTCCTGATTTTGTCTTCCTGTCAGCTTTCGAGATAGTTGGGCGATCTACTAAGGAAGTGGAACATAAAAATTATGTATAAAGAGAAATTAACACTTTCTTCAGTTGTTCCGTTGTTTAGAGAATTTGTAGACCCTCTTTCTAGACCAGGCTGTTATAAGATTTTGTGCTAGTGTGGTAAGGTTTATGTGCGGGAGACCTGCCGACCTATCCAGATGAGACAATGTGAAGACAAAACCGCCTATAAAGGTATATGGGTCCGAAAAGCTGAGCTCGCTGGCAAATGGCCAATACAGGACACTCAATAGACTGGTCCAAGAGACAACGTTTTGCGGGTTACGGTGACTTAGCATCAAAACGTAAAACTAAGAAGCCTATAGAAATTAACAAAATAGCCATCTTTCTGAATAGGAGGAATGAGTTGAGAAAAATGAGCAGGAACTGTTTGTAGTTGTCGGATAGGCTTAAGCAGAGGGAAAGAGAGGGAGGGCAGGAAGAGCCAATGAACAAGAGGAGGCTGGATCGGCCTCAAGTCTAGCCAGGACTATCACACTTCCCATTACATGAACATTATATACACACGATAGACAAATACACAAGCATAAAACATAATTCAACATTATAGGACCGTACACTAGTTTATTTGTGTATGGAAACAGCTGCCACCGAACACACTTCCTGTTGAGGAAGTAACTTCACCCATTTGTAAGCATATAGATTAAGTTGGAAATCGCCAATCAAGTCATGAGATGCCAACTTTTATAATGGTTTAGTATATTTTTTCTCTATTTCGTAAAGTATGGATTACTGTTATGATGATGTCTGTCACAGTACAGACTAAAGCTTAGTACAGTTTCATCGGGGTCGCAGGACGATGAACTGAGGACACTCTTCCTTACACGGCAATCTTCCTTGCGTTTCCAGTGAGACCACATCACAAATTTCTTCCAACCAACTTGTCCTTCGAAATGGAAAGTCATGTCACAACATCCACTTATCGTTGGCAGATCAGTTTTATCTCATTAATCCATAAGTCTTTTGTCACATTATGCGTTTTATTACGAATTGATTCAAAGTATGAAGGCTAAAATAATATGGCCTCTATTTTCCGACTTTAGCAAGTCCAAATTCCGACCACTAGAGTTGAGGAACTCCAACTTGCAAAGATTTCTAGGTCCCCATGTCAACACAACCAATTTGCGAAAATTAGGTCAAGCCAGTTTTAGGATGACTTCAGTTTATATTAAC